GCGCCCGCCCGCCCCTGGGCCAGCGCACCTGCCCGCGGCCCCTTGCCCCGACGGTGGCCCCTGAGCCTGCTCCCGCACTTTCTAGCGCCCAGCTCCCATTCCCTCGGGGTCCCCATTTGCTTTCTGCCCTCGCTACTTTGATCCTCTCTCTTCTTATGTTCGCTTTCCTTCCTCCCAGTCTCAAGATCCGGGAGACTTTGTCTCTTTCTTTCTCTCACTCCTTTATCCTTTTATCTTCCCTCTTTTACCCTCCCTCTGTCATTTACCCTTTCATTGTCTCTGTCCATCTGTGTCTGGATGTCTCTGACTCTCTCATTCTTCCTCTATCTCTTCTTATTCGGTCTCTTGTTCTCAGTCTCTCTCTGGCTTTTTATCTCTATTTCTCTAATTTTGCCTCCCTATCCCTCTATTTCTAGAATGTCTCTCATTCTCCCTATCCCTTTCTATATATCGCTCTAATTTTCGTTCCCATTATCTCTGTTCTCTGATTCTCATTCTCTCTCTCATTTTGTCTTCTCTGTACCTCTCTCTCATTCTCATTCTAATTCTCTTTTCCTCTCTCATTCTCTCTCTCTCTCTCTCTCTCTCACACACACACACACACTCTCATTTTCTTTCTCTCTCATTCTGTCCCTCTCTCTTTCTAATTCTCTCTCCCTCGAATTCACATTCTGTCTCATTCCCTCTCTTCCTTCTCATTTTCTCTATCCTGTTCACACTCTCTAATTCTCTCTGTTTCTATTTCTCTCTCGCCCTCCCGGCTATCATTTTTTCTCTCCCTCACGAACTCTCAATCTACATGTATCTCTCATTCTGCCATTGCTCATTTTCTTTCTCTCTCATTCGCTATCTCTAGCCATCTATCTCTCCCATCCTGTTCCTCTCTTCACCTCTCATATCTTTCTTATCCTGTCTCACATTCTTCCTATCTCATTCTCCCTTTCTCTCATTCACTATTTCTCTCTCTCATTCTCTGCCTCCTTTTTTCCTGTCCCTAAATCTCTCCTTCATACTCTCTGCCCCCTGTATCTCTCTCTCATTCTATGTCTCTCATTCATATTCTCTCTCTCCCTCCCTCCCTCCCCCCCCTTGGCTCTCATTTTTCTGTCTCTAAATATCTTCATTTTATCCTTTCTAGATCTTTCCCATTCTACCTCTCCTTCTCTGTCTGTCTCTATAGCTCTCATTCTGTGTCTCTCATTCTCTCTCTGCCTCTCATTCTCATGTACTCGATCTCCCTCACTCTCTGCTTTTCTCTCATTCACTCTCTGTTTATCTCTCATTCTCTATCCCTTATCTATCTTTCTCATACTGTCTCATTCTCTATCTCATCCTTTGTCTCTTTAAGTCTCTTGTTCATTCTCTCCCTTTCTCCTGTCCTTTACATCCCTACCTCATCCTCGGCCTCTTACTCTGTCTCTCCCTGTTACTCTATATTACCTCTCTCATTTTAATCTTCTCTTTCCCTCCTTCCCTCCTTCTCCCTTGTCTCTCTCTCTCTCCATCTCTCTTGCATCCCTGTGTACCCCTGCTCCTTTCACTGCTTTTCACAATCCCCCCTCAAGGCTGAATTTGGGGGAGTGCCCTGCTCCCCCCACCCAGCAAGCTACACCAAACAAAATTGAGCAATTCGTGCCTAAGCCTGAGGGTCCAGCGACCACTGGTTCCCATGGTGAATAAAGTCCAGAGATTCAAAGAGACAGAGGCCAGCCAGAGAGAGATGAGAAACCATCCGAGAGCCAGAGAGGCTCTGAGAAAGGGTTCCATGGGGGGGGGGGGTGGGGGGGGGGGTGCCCTCGGGGGGGGGGACGGGGGTGGGGGTATGCACTGCAAAAAGCCCCTGAGACTCCAAGAGACAGAGATAAGGAGAAGAGACAACAAGAGATGAAGGGGGGGCTGACAAGTGGTCCAACTGCTACTGAGACCTGGCGCATATCCAAAGACCTCTAACCCCTATAAGGGAGACAGAGACCCACAAGAGCACATGAGCCAACAAGGGGAAGTAGGAAGAACACCTAGTAGACTAGAAAGACTCACGGGGACACATCTTCAATTATTGACACTAGGCATAGCCTACGAACGTGGACAATCAGCGAAATCAGCTGAGAGAACTGGAAAGACAGCGAGGGACAGAGGCCACAACAGGTAGAGACACGCTGATCAGAAAGGACCACAAAGAGAGCCAGGGGCAAAAATGGACAGAGATAGAGACAGAGGCACGCACCCAGCTCCAGAGAACATGCGCTAGACTTAGAGGCACACAGACGCTGTAAGTGCAGGGAGACACGGGGACAACGGAGGACACGAAAGGGGGGCGGTGAAGAGCGGACCAGACAGACCTACAGACGGCGCACACACGTGCAAGCAAGGAAAAGGCTGGGAAACAGCCCCAAAAGTGAGCAACTGAGGCAAGACAGTCGGGGACTGCGATGAGACACATAGCTGCATCCTCCCTGAGATCAGGGAAGGCGCGCTAATGAGAGACGCAGAGCGAAGGTGACGGATTCCCGGAGAGGCGAACTAGGCGCACGCGCATGCGCCCACGGGAGAGCTCAAGCCGGAATCTAGGACGGTGGTACGGTGGTGGCGCGGGGTGGTAGCCTCGCCACCCCCCACCCCCGCCGCTGCCCTTGCCATCTAGGGTCTGCGCCTGGCCGGGGAAGGAGGGGCAGGCTGACTAACGGGCTCACCCTTTCTTTCGCCCCCAGCGTGAGCACTGCTCCCTGTTCCCGCCATGGCTTCCAATTGCACCAATGGCACTGACGGCATGGACATGCAAGACAACGGCACCAGCAGCAGCCACGTATGCATGCCCCTTTCCAAAATGCCCATCAGCCTGGCGCACGGCATCATCCGCTCCACTGTGCTGATTGTTTTCCTGGTGGTAGCGTTTATTGGCAACACAGTGCTGGGGATCGTGCTGCAACGCAAGTCCAATCTGATGCCTGTGTCCAACCGCTTCATCTTTAACCTCCTCACTACTGATCTGATGCAGGTGTTGCTCGTGGCTCCCTGGGTGGTGGCCACCTCCGTGCCTTTTATGTGGCCCCTCAACAACCACTTCTGCACGGCCCTGGTGAGCCTCACCCACCTGTTCGCCTTCACTAGCGTCAACACCATTGTCGTGGTGTCCATAGATCGTTACCTGTGCATCATCCACCCTCTCACTTACCCATCCAAGATGACCTCCCGCAGGGGCTACATGCTTCTCCAGGCCACCTGGATCTTAGCCCTGCTCCAGAGCACACCCCCACTCTACGGCTGGGGCAAGGGTATCTATGATGGGCGGAATGCCTTCTGCTCCATGCTCTGGGGGGACAGCCCTAGCTACACCATCTTCAGCATAGTGTCCTTCATCATATTCCCACTGTTTGTCATGATCGGCTGCTACTCGGTGGTGTTCAATGCAGCCCGTCGACAGCACGCCATGCTGTACAACGCCATGCTGTACAACGTCAAAAGCCACAATCTGGACACACATGCAAATGTCTGTATGGAGAATGAGAGAGAAGGGGTGGAGATCAGCTTCCAGCCTGAGAGTGAATTCCAAGGCCAGGATGAAGGTGAGGTCAATGCCATAGAGGCCGAAGTAGGAGGCATGGAGGTCAGGGAGTGTAGCATAGATCTGAGCGAAGATAGTATGAATGCCAAAGACATCGAGAAGTGCAGCCTGGAGGCCAAGGAGGGGAGTGTGAATAGTAAGGAAGGGGGCGAAGAGGCCAACCACTGCAGGATTGACTTGGGAGAGGATGACCTGGAGTTTGGTGACGATGACCTGGAGTTTGGTGAAGGTATCCATTTCAGTGCTGAAGACATTGAGGCTGTGGATATCCAGGAAAGTTTCCCATCCAGTCGCCAGAACAGTGGTGGCAACCCTCCTCTGCCCAAGTGCTACCAGTGCAAAGCTGCCAGAGTGATCTTCATCATCATTTTCTCCTACCTGCTGTCGCTGGGCCCCTATTGCTGCCTCGCAGTCCTGGCCATCTGGGTGGATGTCCAAACCCGAGTGCCCCAGTGGGTGATCACCATCATCATCTGGCTTTTCTTCCTGCAGTGCTGCCTCCACCCTTACATCTATGGCTACATGCACAAGACCATCAGGAAGGACATCCAGGATATGCTGAAGAAAATCTTCAAGAAAACGTCCCCAGGAGAAGAGAGCCACCCAGACCTGCCTGTAACCGAAGTGGGCACAGAGGGTGGCAGGGTCATCCTTTCCCACGATTCTGCCACTTCACCTTGAAGTCAGCTCTACAGCAAACTGTCCACGATGCAGACAAAAGCAGCTTTCTTTTCAGTGGACCGCGTACAATTCCATCAATGCTAACCCACGCAATTTTAAAGGTGTTGCTTTAATCATCCTTCTCACCGCAAGGTAGATAAACACATGGAAGAAGTAGGAACTGGATTTCTCCTTAAAAGGGTACACCTCAAAGCCCAGATTTGAGGGTTCTACCTGAAATCCATCCCCTCCAAAATTATTAGGCTCTAAATTTCAACAAGGGCTAGTATTTTGGACCTGCACTTGACATTCTACTCGAGAATCTCCTGAGAGCCCCACCATGTCAGCCTTGGCTCCAAGGGCAAGGGAAGGTGATGCCTGAGAAGTTGAGGACTTCTTAAGGGCCCTCGGGCCAGCAGCTCAAGGGCAGGGACTACAGTTTACATTTGGCTGAAAGAAAGGCAATGGACCAGGTCATTCATGGAGCCCAAGAAGCAGAAGTTGACTGATTAATGTTTGAGGGACATTCAGAACTGGAGAGGACACAATCTGATGCGGAGGCTATTATGGAAGCTATGACACAAAGAATAGCACGTACTTAGAATGCCAAGCACTTTTCTCTGTCTCCTTATGGGATCGAACAAAATGGATGAAGACATAGGGGCACATGTAAAGCAGGAATCTAGTTCTGCAAAGAAGACGGAGACAAAGCATACATCTATGGGCCAAAGAGTTGGCTTTTTCTTTTTTTCACACCCTATAAAATCCTGAGGGTGTTTTGGCATGATCCTATCAGGCAATGGAAAATTGTCAATTGGCACTAAATATATTCTGTCTCCTATTTGAATAATAGTGGGACAGCAATCATGCCACTCTTCTAAATTTCTGATCCTCCTTGGTGACTGGATCAGAAGACACCAAAACTTAAAACATTCACTTCCAGCCCCCACCCCAAAATAGGTCTTTTTGATCAAACAGCATTTCTCAAAACAGAAAATCAAGCAGAGGTGGCCAAGTGCCACAGATTCCACACTGCCAAACAAGAGTGAGGTGCCCTTCAGAAATCTTTTTGTGATCCCCACATGGGGAGCAAGTAAGGCAGGAAGAGCAATTCCTTTCTCCAGACACCCCATGATTCTTTTCCCCCTGTGGCTCTCAATAAACCCTTTATACTTTCTTCAGATGAGGGAGTTGTATGAGAAAATCCCAACAAAATACACAAGTTTTCAATTCAGGTCAGCTGCACCCTCATTATCACCAGTGAAATAAATGACTTTGGAAAAACCTTTACACTATCTAAATATCCCTAAAGTCAATACAGAAGATGATTTCTCACATTCCAAAATTTTCTTGACTCTTCTTGTTAGGTAACACTGAGTCAGAATCTATTCTCAGCTCACCCTCCAGTAGGTTTTCAGAGACAGCAAGTTGCAGACGAGACTGTCTTTCTCTCATAGACCTGCTGGTGGATTCAAACCACCTACTATTGGGTTGTCAGCACAACTCAATACCACTAAGCAACCAGAGCTCCCTATTATCATCTTGGCTAGGGATTTGTATCTTTGAGGGACCAGGCCACATCTATAGGACCAAAGAGAACTGAACAATTAAAAAAAAATTACCAAGCTAGTGTATTTCAGCCTTCTGGAAATAAAAATAAATTGTCAATAGGGGTAAGGGGAATAAGGGAGTTTGGGATTGAAAACTTGTTATTCAGGTACATAAAGATCTTCAGAGTTCAGCCTATTTTTCTGTTATTACCACATCTTTGTTCACACAAAGTCCTTTACGGGCTGTGTGCCCAGCTCATTTAGATTTTCCTTGATCTCTTCCTCCTCAAAGATACCAGTATTGGCTTCTCGAAGGGAAGAAGTAAGCAGCAATGTATTGGGGCTGTGAAAAACCCAGCATGGGATTTGGGGATTGCTATGTTCAGTATTTGGAAAAGGAGAAGGGATAGACCCAAATGAAAGTGGGCTGATGAGTCAATTTGTTATGTCAGTGTAAATCTTATGAATTGCAACCCCACAAATTTGGCACATGTGGCAATTCATACAAGGTGTGAGAGCCGAAATTTATCCTTGCATTATCATTCACTTTTCAATCCAAAATATAAAGAGTCATAACTTTATTATACCTAATTCTTGTATTGACCTGTCCTTACAGGGGCATCCAGATGAAGGAATGGCCTGTGTGACCGCTCCCTCTATGAAGGGGGATAGCCTTCAAGGCCTACCATGGGTGAGGAAATTGAACGTACCTGCACACTGTACTTTGAGTAAAGATGCTGGCCTTGGTAGGAAACAGAATTTCAAACACAAATGTTGACAAATATTTTGCTGAATCTGAACTTCTCATTCTCTTTTGAAAGCTTAATTCCTTCTAAGTGTATCAGAGAAAACTGTTTGCCAAAATCACAAACCCAAAAGGAACCAGAACCTGTACAAGTGTGTCTGTTGTTGTTGTTTTATGCCATCAAGTTGGTTCCAACTCACAGTGACAACAGAACATCCAGCAGCACAGAACACGGCCCAGCTCTGTGCCATGCTCACAGTCGCTGCTCCATTTGAGCCCTCTGTTGCAGTCATGAAGTTTTCAAGCGTGCTGTCCTTTTCCAAGGATTAGTCCCTCCTGGTAACACATCCAAAGGACATGAGGCACACACACCACCCAGGCTATGCACACGTTCCACAAGAAACAAATAAACGTTCTGGAATTCCCATTCTTCTTAATGTTATCCATCATTATGATTCACACAGTCTACTACTTTTATGTAGCCAAGAAAACACAGGTAAACATTTTTCTGGTATTCTCTTTCAGCCAAGATCCATCTGACAGCAATGATATCCCTCGTTCTATATCCTCATCTGAATCTGGTTTGTATTTCTGGGAGTGCCATGTTGATGCACTGTGGCAACTGTTTTCTCATTAACTTCTGCAAAATATTACGTGTATGTAATACTAATGCTATTGTACAAATGTGGTAAGTTCATTTAACAGCCTACTCAACATTGTCCAAGGCACTGAGACTCACTGATTTCCTTTTTTGAAATTTCTGTGTTCCCTATTTTAATTATTTTGCCGTTATTTTGGCAGATTAGATTTTGCAAAGGTGAAGCCCTCTTGAAGACAGATTGGAAAAAAGGACCTTTGAATTAAGAACATTCTGCTTTGATAAACATTTTCTTCTTAGTGAATAGGGCCTCTGGGTTAGCTTGGATACAGGAACTCCTTCAAATTTTGCGTTATTTTAAATAAAGCACTATCAACTTAATAAGGTTTTAATGCACATAATCTTTCACAATATGAAAATACACACACAAACAAAATATCATCATTAGCCTCCCAGATCCTTGTGCAGTGGCTTCTCCTAAATGTTTTTTAGAGGAGGTATTCTTTAGTCAAGGCCACTTTGTGTGTGCTGTTAAAAATCTCATTAAAATACAAGACCAGACAAGCCAGACTTTAAAATGTTGTGATTTCCAGATTTAAGAATAATAGCATGTCCAGTTTGCTAACGAGTTGCAGATGCTTTGACTAACATGCCACTTTCAACAAGCTCAAGAAACAAAAAGAACAAAGGGAAACCTTGGTTTCTATTAATCTTACAATATAAGGATCCACATTCTCTGAGATGTTAGAGCTGGGAATCCCTGAGCACTTCCAGCTGCCCATGTGCCACTAACTAATCAGCATGCCCACTGCCTTCAACCCACCTCACTCCCTCTGCCAGCCCTACATGAATGTCCCTTGTTCAAAGTTCTATTTGCTCACCCCCCCAAGACCCCCACACACTCTTCCCACCCCTGGCATACTCGGAGATGACAGATTCACGGGGAACTGAGGACCCCTGGAAGCAGAGAAGAGAAGTGACCAGTAATGCAAGGTGGTGTTTTACTGTCTCAACCCCAACTCCAAGTTAGAGATGACAGCTATCTACTTCATATTCAATAGATAAGAAGAAGGGCCATTTTATAATTTAGGAGGAACTAGACACCTTATTCCCTACAAAAAAAAATCCCACCCAATATAGAACATCTTAGGGGCACATTCAATCCTGCAGATGATGTCCAATTATCTCAGCAAAACACAAACACACACATCTATAAAACTGTAAGGTGTATAAAAATAAATGCATCACTGTTCCATACATAATTAGTCAATTAGGTCAGGTAAACTTACTTAAAAATATTTTTTTTTCATACTATAGGAAGAATAATTCACCCGATAAGACTTTTTTTCTTAAAAGCTTTTTTAATTTATGGAATACAGCATTTGGAAGAGAAAAATTATGTACCACCTGGTAATTGGAACTCTCCAAGAAAAACCCCTCAGAGTGGTTGAGATGAAGCAAAGACAGAAATAATTTTAAACTACCAGATTCTTCTCTGATGACACCACCCACCATATTTTCAGGGGGGGGAAAAACCCCAAAAAAGTGTTTTCCTCTTACGATGCCTTTTTTTTGTTGTATTCCTCTTGTAGACAAGTCCCATGCTGTCAGAAGAGGCTTCTCTAAGCAAAATGTCTTTTCCTTCTAGAGCAGACAAAAGATTAAGGGAACAAATGGCTGCTGGCCAACTCTCAAGATAAGAAGAGAAAATCTGGTCAGTCAAGGCTTTTAACTCCTTGTCTTTTTCTTTCTTGTTTTTGGAGGAGGGCAAGGTGTTCTTGGCCCCTCCAAACTTAGGAGGGAGACAGAAGTAAAGAACTAGACAGAAATGGCAGGCCATAGCCTCAAACTGAAAGTGACAAGAAACCCATCCCTTCTTCTCCTGTAAATGCCGAGTGTGGCTCACAGTGACTCTAAAGGGCAGAGTAGGGTATCCAAGGCTTCGACCCCTACGGAAGCCGACTGCCATAGCTCTCTCTTCCTGAGTGGTTTCCACCTGCCAGCCTCCACCTTAGCAGCTGGCGCTTTAACCACCACTCCGCCAGCAGGGCCTTTTACAGAAAGACACAAGAAAACAAAAAATGACACAGAACCTGGCCACTGGCTGATAGGTTAGCAGCAAGGTCAA